CTTACCGGGCCACTTGTTCTAGGTTGTGGTATATTGACAGCATATGAGACCCTGGGCATATAAAACTCGAGTTTCTGATTCACTGTTTTTATCTCGTTATTAGCCGTCCGGTTGAGTGAGTGAGAGAGAGAGAGAGAGAGAGAGAGAGAGAGAGAGAACACATACAAAATATTCTTATAATTCAGATTATTCTAATGAATACAATAAAATGTATGCCAAATGAAAATCAATTAGTTGTCACAATTGGAGCCAACACTAAGACAGCATTGATTTATTTGTTGCCAAACATTATATACATTGCCATGTATATAACATGGCAATCGATGTATATACGATTGTATATACATTACAAACAATTATCTCAAATACAGATCAGCTATTCCTCAACACTTTTGGAGTATAATACTTAACAATGTATTAATAGCTCAAGACTTTATCACACTTTTTAAATCATAATATCAAACGTGACAATAAATTGAATAATTAATTACTATTTTGAAACTTTATTATAATAGTGAATAACAAAGAACAGGTGAAATGCTGAACAAATAAATAGTTATATAATATTATTATTATAATAACAGTAGTTATCATTTCTAACATGTTACCTCAAAATATAGCAATAAAGTACATGAATTTATATATACTGTACAGTACAAGCTATGTTATAAAAAGCTTAGAATATTTATTTTAATTAAATGATTTATATATTCATTAATATTGATACAATTTATTTAGCATATTTAAAAAATTCTATTATTTTTAAGAATTTAAAAAATAAAATTTTTATTAGCATTTACTTAAAACCCTTATAAATATCAAATGTGAGCTGGCCGATTTTGCACCTGATCCAGCTACCATTCAGGTAAGTAAAATACCTGGATACTCCATCTTTGTGATCACAGATACAGTTCCAATAACCACCAAATTTTTGGTCCAATTTGTGGACAATATTTTTGCATACCTTTCCTAATTGGATGTCATTCATCAACTCCTCGGCCACTATAACGAGTACTTTGTGCCGGAAGTCATCCTTCATATCGCACCCAAAGATCACTGCATTAAACCTCTCACTCCTGGCAGTCGTTAGTATTGATTCAATTGATACCTGTTTTTGAAATACAAAAAATATTTTAATATCTTATGGAAATAAATTACATTCAGATTTTGCAAACATTACTCCAAATTAATTCAACATTAATTAATTATTTATATTTAAAAATCAAATGCAAATATAACATAAATCTACTGCATTTATTAATTGACTTGGTATTATTTTAATTTATTTACTTTTAAAAATTATAAAAATAATGTTTCATGTTAAAAATTGTATTTAATTTCTACTTAACACATAACTTTAACAAAAATGTTTTGCATGTTATATATACATAATTTCTGTTTCAACATAATTTTAAATAAAAGATTGAACAAGTATCTACTTACAGGAATACTTGTGCTAGGTTGCGGTATATTAACAGCATATAACACCCTGGTCATATAAGAATCAAGTTTCAAATTTAATGTCTTAATCTCGTTATTAGCCGTCCGATTGAGTGCGAGTAACGCCTGTATGCAGTCGTGTCCAGAGGTTTGTTCACAAAAACATTTCCCACATTTGGACGCATCGTATGGACACGAGTCCACGTGTTGTGACAACTGATCCAATGGTACCACCGATGGACACCCATTACTACTGAACTGACATTTAATCTCAAGTTTGCCAAACATTACCTCAAATACCCTGATAAAAATAAACTTAATTAAGTATTTAAATATAATTGTATTTAGAAATTTTATTCACCTTGGTGGCTTATGTAGTTCATTTACAGTTAGGGTTTTCCGATCATAAGGACAGGCAGCATTTTCTCGGAGCCAATCAGTGATACAATCCCTGCAAAAGGTCTGTCGACAGCACTGGGAGACCACGGGATCCCGAAATACGTTGAGACATATACTGCACGACAGCTCCTGTATGTCGGCGACGCTTAGCCCTACAAACCGATCGCTTTCATAGCCCGGCATTAGTTTAAAATAAATTAAATGTTTTGTAAAATAAAAATATTTATCTCAAAAACAATGTCTCCCTATTATCGTTGCTATGAGTTTTAGTTACGTTATCACAATGTATAGTAGATTATATTTCAGTTGTTTATACAGGGTACTAATACAGTCTAATGATATTTTAGTATAACAAAAATAAATTAATCATAATAATGTTATATTTATATTAAATTAACATAATCATGCTTTACAATTTGTAATTTATAAATGATTTTTATTATAATTTAAATACAGTTCAGGGTTATTTTACATAATATTTACTGTACTAGGTTATAGTGCTGTGTAATCGTCAGTTAATATATTGATTAATTTAATTTGAAAACTACTTCATAATTGTAATTAAATACAAATAATACAATACAGTATTACTAAATAATTAAAAGTTTTAGACTTAGCGCTTAGTTGTTTATGATAATGTAACGATTACCTAAGTAACTAGATAGTTTACGTAATAAACAAGTTATGATACCGGTACAAGTTAACATTGAATCAACATTTACGTCATCAATGTTTTTATTTATATCTCAAACTGTAATATATTCCTAAAATATTTCTAAAAATGTATTTTTAATGTTTGATCAATTAAATTTATTTATTAGTTAGAAATGTTAGGTTAGCTTTGAAAGATTATATAAGTTTAATCTATATTATTTAATTAACTTTCTAATAATAAGTAATTTTTAATAGTAAACATGCTACATCATATATTTTGTAATAGGATTTTGTGTTTGATAATTTACTTTTAAAATAAGCAATGTAATTTTAATACATACCATTTATTATAGTATATGCCTTATTATTAATTACTTGGGAAATGTTTTCTGACTAAAAACTCAGCAAGATCAAGTATGTATTAAAAGTCTTTTTTTAATGTAATAATATTCAACAATAATGCTAAACTCATTACACTATTAATTAATTTGATTTTAATTTTATTATAGAGTTAACGACAATAAAAATGTGTGAAAAGTATAATAAACAAAGTTTCGACAGATTTGGTGATGACTTGTGTGAAGTGCTATTGAGTTACCTATCATTTGAGGACAGTTTCCGTTTTGAATGTCTGTGCAAACAGTGGCAGCGATTCGTATACACGGGACAGACATCTCTGATACTGGACTGGCGT